GGTACACTGTGTATGAGTGTTGCGTCAGAGGTACATTAACTGTATGAGTGTTGCGTCAGAGGTACACTAACTGTGTATGAGTGTAGCGTCAGAGGTACACTAACTGTGTATAAGTGTAGCGTCAGAGGTACACTAACTGAGTATGAGTTTCCGTTAGAGGTAGCCTAGCTGCGTATGAGTGTAGCGTCAGAGGTACACTAACTGTGTATGAGTGTAGCGTCAGAGGTACACTGTGTATGAGTGTAGCGTCAGAGGTACACTAACTGTGTATGAGTGTAGCGTCAGAGGTACACTAACTGTGTATGAGTGTAGCGTCAGAGGTACACTAACTTTGTATGAGTGTAGCGTCAGAGGTACACTGTGTATGAGTGTAGCGTCAGAGGTACAATAACTGTGTATGAGTGTAGCGTCAGAGGTACACTAACTGTGTATGAGTGTAGCGTCAGAGGTACACTGTGTATGAGTGTAGCGTCAGAGGTACACTGTGTATGAGTGTGGCGTCAGTGGTACACTAACTACATACGAGTGTTTGGGTCAGAGGTAGCCTAGCTGTGTATGTGTGTTGCGTCAGAGGTACAATAACTACATATGAGTTTTGCGTCAGAGGTTTGTGGGTATAAATGTCAGCATCAGAGGAAACTGGGTATGAATGTTTTTTGCATCTGTGGTACTTCAGTTTACAAAGCACGAGGCTTGGTATTCTCTAAGTTCCTTGTCCTCTCTCGCATGAAATATTCCTCTTGTTTATTGAGAGGTGGGATAAGGCATCACAGCTAAAATACAGTCCGCGATCTTCTACAGTTCGCGTTATGTCTGTGAAGCAGGTACGCTACTGAGGCTCTATCACTGTATCGTGGGGAAGCAAGCGATGATTATCTCTATACTAGGGCCAAGAGTGACATTATGAAGTGAGGTAAACACCGTGTACATGTAGTCCCGTGTCTCTTGTGACCACTGAAGCCACTTGTGGGGGGAGAAGAGCGCGCGCGCCTATCACTATGGGAATATCAACATTTATCCACTTCCTTTTATTTTCTGCCTGCCTCAGTGCCTGCCTGCCTGCCTGCCTGCCTGCCTGCCTGCCAGCCTGCCTGCCTGCCTGCCTGCCAGCCTGATTGCCTGCATGCCTACTTACCTGCCTTTCACAATCTACATCCCCTATTCGTCACCACTAACAGCACAACAAGGCCCTATACGCACAGCCGTCCTAACAAGCGATGCACCGCACATTTATGCTTTGCTTGTAGAATCTCAGTCAATCAATGTGTGCAGGTGCCTAGGGTGAGGTAGCCTAGCTATAAGCCTGTGTCTAGGTTGCTGCTAGACTCAGCACTCACCAGCTATGGACGTGGACGCCCCACTATGCTGCCGTGGTACTATCTAACTGGGAGAGAGAGAGACTGGAAAGGAGAAGGGGTAACAGCTTGGGAGAGGGGAAGGCGGGGAGAGATTGACACTGACGAAAGGAAGGCGAGATTGGGAGGATTTAAGGTGGATATTTTGAGAGGGAGGAAGGAGTTTGATAGGGATAGATGCGGACGGGTAAGGGGACACCTGGGGAGGAGACTGGAAGGGGAGATGACGTGGGAGGGTGATTAGAGAGGGGAAGGCGATGATCAACGAATCGTACCAGGCCACAGTTATATGATGATTAGAGAGGGGTATTGAGGGGAGTAGAGGGGAGGGGTTAAGGGGGAGTAGGGAGGAAGGGAGGTAATGGGAGAGGGGAAAGGGGGGAAGAGAGGGGGCTGGGGGATAGGGAGAGGAGGAAGAGTAATGTACCAAAGTGGATGTATCAACCATGAATTTCCCCTTGAACCAGGAAGTTCCATTCACACATACCACCTGCATTTTTGCGCTCACTTGCCTATTTTGAAAAGATTATGATAAGAATGAATTCCTTTGTGTAATGGGGCGGGAGCAAATAGTCGCCCTGCCAGCTGCTGGGCGCTGACACCGGCTGACCATATTGTTGAATACCTCACATTCTTGTTGTTGCAGCCTCGGTGTTCCCGATTAATGTGTGACTGGTCCGTGACGTGTATCTTGTGTAATATATTGTTTAGTGGTCTGCAATGATAATATTTGTATCTTATATTTTTCTTACGTGTCAAAGATGTGTCCCTCCATGGGGGGGGGTAACTGGTATTTGGGTACAGAATTATGGGTCGCTGCACTATTTGGGTACTGAATTATGGGTCGCTGCGCTATTTGGGTACAGAATTATGGGACGCTGCGCTATTTGGGTACAGAATTATGGGACGCTGCGCTATTTGGGTACAGAATTATGGGACGCTGCGCTATTTGGGTACAGAATTATGGGACGCTGCGCTATTTGGGTACAGAATTATGGAACGCTGTGCTATTTGGGTACAGAATTGTGGATCGCTGCACTATTTGGGTACAGAATTATGGGACGCTGCGCTATTTGGTTACAAAATAAATTAACAGTTGTTCCTCATACTGATAATTAGGTAAAACCACCTATATGCGCCCCTTAGTGGAACATTTGAACCCAATTGACGTATCTTAACCAAATACTTTGCATCAGTCCCCCCCCACCATCCTCCCGAAAAAAATTTGGCTCTGAACGTGATGGCTGGTGTTATGTCGGCTGTGAACGTGATGGCTGGCGTTATGTTGACTGTGAACGTGATCGCTGGCGTTATGTTGGCTGTGAACGTGATGACTGGTGTTATGTTGACTGTGAACGTGATGGCTGGTGTTATGTTGGCTGTGAACGTGATGGCTGGCGTTATGTTGGCTGTGAACGTGATGGCTGGCGTTATGTTGGCTGTGAACGTGATGGCTGGCGTTATGTTGGCTGTGAACGTGATGGCTGGTGTTATGTTGGCTGTGAACGTGATGGCTGGCGTTATGTTGGCTGTGAACGTGATGGCTGGTGTTATGTTGACTGTGAACGTGATCGCTGGCGTTATGTTGGCTGTGAACGTGATGGCTGGCGTTATGTTGGCTGTGAACGTGATGGCTGGCGTTATGTTGGCTGTGAACGTGATCGCTGGCGTTATGTTGGCTGTGAACGTGATCGCTGGCGTTATGTTGGCTGTGAACGTGATGGCTGGCGTTATGTTGGCTGTGAACGTGATGGCTGGCGTTATGTTGACTGTGAAAGTGATGGCTGGCGTTATGTTGGCTGTGAACGTGATGGCTGGCGTTATGTTGGCTGTGAAAGTGATGGCTGGCGTTATGTTGGCTGTGAACGTGATGGCTGGCGTTATGTTGGCTGTGAAAGTGATGGCTGGCGTTATGTTGGCTGTGAACGTGATGGCTGGCGTTATGTTGGCTGTGAACGTGATCGCTGGCGTTATGTTGGCTGTGAACGTGATCGCTGGCGTTATGTTGGCTGTGAACGTGATGGCTGGCGTTATGTTGACTGTGAACGTGATGGCTGGCGTTATGTTGGCTGTGAAAGTGATGGCTGGCGTTATGTTGGCTGTGAACGTGATGGCTGGCGTTATGTTGGCTGTGAACGTGATCGCTGGCGTTATGTTGGCTGTGAACGTGATGGCTGGTGTTATGTTGACTGTGAACGTGATGACTGGTGTTATGTTGGCTGTGAACGTGATCGCTGGCGTTATGTTGGCTGTGAACGTGATGGCTGGCGTTATGTTGGCTGTGAACGTGATGGCTGGCGTTATGTTGACTGTGAACGTGATCGCTGGCGTTATGTTGACTGTGAACGTGATGACTGGTGTTATGTCGGCTGTTAACGTGATGGCTGGTGTTATGTTGGCTGTGAACGTGATGGCTGGCGTTATGTTGGCTGTGAACGTGATGGCTGGCGTTATGTTGGCTGTGAACGTGATGGCTGGCGTTATGTTGGCTGTGAACGTGATGGCTGGCGTTATGTTGGCTGTGAACGTGATGGCTGGCGTTATGTTGGCTGTGAACACACCAAATAAGCAGGTTGTTCCCTCATTAAAGTGCCATAACTCCCTAGTGTCAGATCTGCCCAAAACTCTAATCAATAGCAACGAATCTTATGGTAAATCAATGATTTCATTTTCAAGCAAATCAATAAAGCTGATTAGGAACTGGTATAACCCATCCTCCAACCCGTCTTCAGACCAAGTCCATTCCATCCAGCGGTCGACCCCAAAGACGCATCAATTGTAACATGCTTTTCATTCAAATCAGGATTTTTTCCATATATAAAAAAATAGTGTTATATATTAGCATATTGTGCATAATTAGGCATCGTTTAGGTTAGGTGTTTAAGTTCTGTTGGCGATTATTTGTATTTGTAGTACGTGGGTGAGGCATTTACAGCGTTGTGATTCGAACAAAAGTCGTCAGTGAAGCACTTGTTCGAGAAGTGTTCGAACGTCATCAGTTGTGAGTCTTGTGTAAACCGTTTTTCATTCATAAAAAGGGGGTTTGGCGGGTGGATGGAATGGACTTTGGGTCTTTGTTTACAAGGACGGGCAGCAGACTTCCTTGCCGCCAATGACGAACCAGCCCGTCCTCCAAACAAAGACCCAAAAGTGATTCCATGCACCCGCCAAACCCCCTGTTTATGAATGAAAAATGATTTACACACAACTCACAACTGCTGACGTTCGAACATATCCGGAACAAGTGCTTCACTGACCAATTTTGTTCGAACCACAACGCTGTAAATGCTTCATCCACGTACTACAAATACAAATAATCGCCAACAGAACCTAAACACCTAACCTAACCTAACCTAACCTAACCTAACCTAACCTATCCTATGCCTATATATGCACACTATGCCAATATATAATAATATTAATTTATATTTGAGAAAATTCCCGTTTTGAATGAACAGCATGTTAAAATTGATGAATGCGTCTGTGGGGTCGACCGCTGGATGGAATGAACTTGAGTGGAGGACGGGTCGGGCGAACACACGAGGTGTAGAGTGCGCGACTCTCACTATTCCCGGTGATCCCTGAGAGGCGACCCACACTGTGGGTCCCGGGTCATACCGCACACTTAAACTCCTGTAGACGATTATGAAGACGGCGATGATTACCATATTTGATGACGATGAATCAGCGCGTGAGTAAATTAGGTGAAAAGGGAAAATAGTAAGCGGGGCTAGGCTCGTTCAGGCGGCGGCCGACCCCCCCCCCCCTCCCCCCCGAAGATTCATTCATCAACTAATCACGTTGACGAATGTATCATGAATTGAATTTGAATGCAAATGATACAAATTGAATGAATTTGTATAATTCAAAACAAAAATATTCTCAGATATAATTTACTCTTTATCATATATTAGCATATTGAGCAGATTTAGGCGTATTTTAAGTGTTTATATAGGTTAGGTTGGCAATTATGCAACGGCGTGTATCTATAACACGTGGGTGAACCATTAACAGTTTGGGATTCGAACAGAGGTCTTCAGCGAAGCACTGTTCGAGAAACATTCGAATGTCATCAGATGTCTGAGGACAGGTTGGAGCACCAGTTGATTGATAGTTGAGAGGCGGGACCAAAGAGCCTAAGGTCAACCCCCACAAGCACAACTAGTTGAGTACAAGTGGATGAGTAGTTGTGAGTCGTGTCCAAAAAAAAGTTTCATTCATAAACAAGGGGTTTGGCGGCTGGAGGGAATCACTTTTAAACTTTTGTTGATGGGGGCGGTTTTGTGTGTAAGACACGAGTGACTAGAGAATTGAAATAAACCAGGTGAACCAGGATCCAAGAGAACAAGAACCAGGAGAACCAGGAACCAAGAGAACCAGGAACCAAGAGAACCAGGAACCAAGAGAACCAGGAACCAAGAGAACCAGGAACCAGTAGAACCAGGAACCAAGAGAACCAGGAACCAGGAGAACCAGGAACCAGGAGAACCAGGAGAACCAGGAACCAGGAACCAAGAGAACCAGGAGACAAGAGAACCAGGAACCAGGAGAACCAGGAACCAAGAGAACCAGGAACCAAGAGAACCAGGAACCAAGAGAACCAGGAACCAGGAGAACCAGTTCCTGCACCTCACCCATATTATCCCCCCTAATATATATATATATATATATATATATATATATATATATATATATATATATATATACGTATATATATACGTATATATATATATATATATATATATATATATATATATATATATATATATATATATATATATATATATATATATATATAATCAGATATATCCGAAGATCAGAAAACGAGAATTATTGACAAGAGGAACACCTTAATGAATGATAAAAGTGGGGAGAAATATGAAGAACGACTCGAGTGGAGGCGGAGACATACCGGAGTTTCATCCACCAACTGTTTTTTTTTTTTTTTTTTTGCACTTTTTCTCTCCGAGTGGAATTATGTGTAACTAAGGTACAATGAACTTGGTAATCATCCCTGAGTGCCAATAGAGATAATTCACAAAATTGTTCTTATTACGAAGGCAATTTCATATTTATAATTCGCCCCAAGAAACCATGTCACGACAATTTGGCCGTTTGCCAGGGCCATAATGTAGCCGGTGGCCCTGCTGCCTCACTGATGAACTGGGTGTCACGACGTCTTAGACAACTGTGTGAAAACTCCGCCACCAGATTAGCATTGTTTACCTTGCCTCTAATTAATGTAATTGCTGTCATTGGTGGTTCGGTTCTTGTGATATGTGTTATTACGCCACGGCATGGTGTGTGTGTGTGTGTGTGTGTGTGTGTGTGTGTGTGTGTGTGTGTGTGTGTGTGTGTGTGTGTGTGTGTGTGTGTGTGTGTGTGTGTGTGTGTGTGTGTTTGTGTGTGTGTGTGTGTGTGTGTGTGTGTGTTTGTGTGTGTGTGTGTGTGTGTGTGTACTTACCTAATTGTACTTACCTAATTGTGTGTGTGTGTGTGTGTGTGTGTGTGTGTGTGTGTGTGTGTGTGTGTGTGTGTTTATTTACTATTTGTGCCTGCAGAATCGAGCTATTAGCTCTTGGACCCCGCATTTCTAACCAATCTGTTTTTCCCTCTATTATGTCTACTATATATATATTTTTCTCTAAGACACGCGCGCGCGCACGCGAACACACGCACATTGTATATGGCGTATATAAAGCGGGTGTGTAAAGAACTGTATAAAGCGGGTATTAAGCTAAGACCCAACAAAAACTGCTCCACAGCCACATCAGGAGGAAAACAGCAGTGAAGGAACAAGTGATGAAACTGAGAAAACGGGAGAACAGATACACATGGAATGACACGGTGTGTGAAGAGCTCAATCAGAGATTCCAGGAGGTCTTCACAAAAGAACAAGGAGAAGCCCCTGCGCTAAATGAGGAGGCAAACCATGCAACCTTGTAGGAATTTGACCTCACCGGTGATGAGGTCAAAAGAAATCTGTTGGGCTGAATGTGACAAAGGCTGTTGGGCCTGACAGAATCTCACCATGGATATTAAACGAAGGTGCAGAAGCACTAAGTGTGCTACTCTCTATTGTGTATAACAGGTCACTGGAGACAGGAGACCTACCGGAAAGATGGAAGACGGCTAATGTAGTCCTAGAATACAAAAACGGTGACAGGCAAGAGGCACTGAACAACAGGCCAGTTTCACTAACTTGTATACCATGCAAGGTGATGGAGAAGATCGTGAGGAAAAGGCTCATAGAGCACCTGGAGGGAAATAGCTTTGTAACACACCACCAACATGGGTTCAGAGATGTTAAATCGTGCCTCACAGGTTCAATAGAATTCTATGACCAAGTAACAAAAATTAGGCAAGAAAGAGAAGGGTGGGAAGAGTGCATTTTCTTGGACTGTCAGAAAGCGTTTGACACAGTACCCCATAAAAGGCTGTTACAAAAGTTGGAGCAAGAGGCAGAAGTAAAAGGTAAGGTGCTCCAGTGGATAAGGGAGTATCTAAGCTACAGGAAACAGCGAGTAACGGTGAGGGGGGGGGGGGGAGACATCAGAGTGGCGAGATGTCACCACAGGGCTCTGTTCATGGACCCATCCTGTTTATAATATATATAAACGATCTTCCAAAGGGTATAGACTCATTCCTCTCAATGTTTGCTGATGATGCAAAAATTATAAGAATCAAGACAGATGAAGATAGACAGAGACTACAGGACGACCTGGACAAACTGGAGGAATGGTCTAGAAAGTGGGTGCTAAAGTTCAACTCAGGAAAGTGTAAAGTAATAAAATTAGGCGAAGGGAGCTAAAGGCTGAAAACAAGATACCATCTGGGAGGTGAAAGCCTGCAAGAGTCATATAGAGAGAAAGATCTGGGGGTTGATATCACACCGAACCTGTCCCCAGAGGCCCATATCAAAGCGATATCATCAGCGGCATATGCTAGATTGACCAACATAAGAACCGCCTTTAGAAACAAATGTAAGGAATCGTTCAGGACCCTGTATACCACTTATGTCAGACCAATCCTGGAATATGCAGCTCCAGCCTGGAATCCATACCTAGTTAAACACAAGACAAAGTTAGAAAAGATTCAGCGGTATGCCACCAGACTAGTCCCGGAACTGAGAGGTATGAGCTACGAGGAAAGGCAAAAGGAGCTGAACCTCACGTCCTTGGAAAACAGAAGAGTAAGGAGGAGACATGATAACCACCTACAAAATTCTCAGGGGAATTGACAGGGTGGACAATGACAAACTCTTTAGCACGGGTGGAACACGAACTAACTTTGGAAACTTAGTACCCAAATGAGCCACAGAGATATTAGAAATAATTTTTTCAGTGTCAGAGTAGTTAAACAGAATTCATTAAGCAGTGATGTGGTGAAGGCAGACTCCATGCACAGTTTCATATGAAGATTTGATGCCCAATTAGCTCAGGAATCTGTACACCAGTTGATTGACAGTTGAGTGCAGATAAGATAAAAGTCAGTATCATAAAAGTTAGGTCAGTAAGATAAAAACTTGCTGACCTAACAAATTCACCTGAAAGTTGTAGAATTAAACATTATGATGAATACCGAGAGAAGGCATTTATATTTGGAACTTATAGAGCAAGAACTCGGTAGTGTGCTGTTTAGTGGCCAGAATATTCCTGGCATACAGACTTATCTGCCAGCTTTCTCAAGACTCAAATCGACTACACTATGTGTCAACTTTGTGAACGAGTCAAATACACCATATGTTAACTTGTGAAAGAGAAAACCTGCACTCTTTCGGACATTATATATTGTGTGTGTGTGTGTGTGTGTGTGTGTGTGTGTGTGTGTGTGTGTGTGTGTGTACTCACCTAGCTGTACTCACCTAGTTGTGCTTGCGGAGGTTGAGCTCTGGCTCTTTGGTTCCGCCTCTCAACCGTAAATCAACAGGTGTACAGGTTCCTGAGCCTATTGGGCTCTATCATATCTACACTTGAAACTGTGTATGGAGTCAGCCTCCACCACATCACTTCCTAATGCATTCCATTTGTCAACCACTCTGACACTAAAAAAGTTCTTTCTAATATCTCTGTGGCTCATTTGGGCACTCAGTTTCCACCTGTGTCCCCTAGTGCGTGTGCCCCTTGTGTTAAATAGCCTGTCTTTATCAACCCTGTCGATTCCCTTGTGTGTGTGTGTGTGTGTGTGTGTGTGTGTGTGTGTGTGTGTGTGTGTGTGTGTGTGTGTGTGTATGTGTGTGTGTGTGTATTTAAATCACGAAAATTAACACGTGTTGAAAATGTGATAGTCAGACCACGAAGGAAGAATTGAAACAGAAATTTCCTTAAGTACTTTCGTATTTAATAATACATCTTCAGGAGGGTTCTGAAGATATATATATATATATATATATATATATATATATATATATATATATATGTCGTACCTAGTAGCCAGAATGCACTTCTCAGCCTACTATGCAAGGCCCGATTTGCCTAATAAGCGAAGTTTTCCTGAATTAATATATTCTCTCTAATTTTTTTCTCATGAAATGATAAAGCTACCCATTTCATTATGTATGAGGTCAATTTGTTTTTATTGCAGTTAAAATTAACGTAGATATATGACCGAACCTAACCAACCCTACCTAACCTAACCTAACCTATCTTTATAGGTTAGGTTAGGTTAGGTAGCCGAAAACGTTAGGTTAGGTTAGGTTAGGTAGGTTAGGTAGTCGAAAAACAATTAATTCATGAAAACTTGGCTTATTAGGCAAATCGGGCCTTGCATAGTAGGCTGAGAAGTGCGTTCTGGCTACTAGGTACGACATATATATATATATATATACACACATAATTAGCTGGTCAGAATTACATATCACCTATGAAAACTCGCATTAATAATATGTATAAAACATACCTCAAAAACTGTTTATGTAGGACAGACGTAAATGTATGCATTTATGAATATTAGTTAGATTAACATCTTAATTAAAGGCACTACAATCACCTTCTATTGTTTATCATTCGAATAAATCATATGTTTAACAGATCTCTAACCCAGTTCATGGAGGGCAACTGAAAATGTATATATATATATATATATATATATATATATATATATATATATATATATATATGCTGGTTAGCATTGAAAATGTGTGGCCACGTCTGTGGTAGAACATAATAATAAATAAAAGAACTTGAACCCAGTATTATTGGGGGTCGGCGAGACCGACATAAACAGAACATTATAGCACTGTCTTATGTGAATGTCACCTTGCAGCGTTTAGGGGGTGACAGGCTCTGAAGGAACCTCTGCCAAGTAATTATCATTAACAGAGCCTCGAACCTGGGCTTAGCAACGTCCTAAATCCGTGACAGTCCGGACCAGGAGGCAGACTGTCACTCCCGGATCATTAATTGCTCCACTCTGCCCCGTCTGACAGAGGGCAATAAAGGCTGGTATTACGTACGCCCCGTTGAGCGTGGGCCATGGACAGTCGAAGAGTAATAATGAAGATGCCACAGTCTTTGTTTACCCTTGATGGTGGGTCTAATGACACGCCCTCTCGCCCTCCTCCTCCCCACAACCAGAGAGAAAGGGAGGGGGAGAGGACGATGGGGTTGGAGAGGGGGGG